CGGTCCAGTGCTGCGGCAGCGGCCACATCCCAGGCCGCCGCCAGATTTTCAGCCGAGTCGTGAACTAGATCCTCCGGATATGGCCCAAGCTCCGTCAGGAACCTCTCTGGGTCCATCAGGCGCCTGGGGCGGAACCATCTGTGCGGTTCCGACTCCCTGCGGTGGGGGGGAGCGGTCCGGAAGTCCATCCTAAGGAGTGAATGATCTGATCATGACAGGGGCTCTATAACTACCTCCCCCATTTCCAGATCATTGCATGTGAATCTGGCCCTTGTCTAAGGGATTGAGGTGATGCATGAATCCAATCAATTTCAGTGGATTCTGGACTATAAAATAAATAATGGCTTAGTATGACACCAAACCAGAGTTTTGTATGCCTGTCAGTCTTCTCCAATACAACACTTTATGGGACTGAAATATTTGAAGTTCCAGAAGTTACAATGCAACATATCTGAGTTCAGGTATGCAAAAATCTAAATGACCACTAGAAGGCAACAAAAAGATGTTCAATCAATCTTCTGCTGCCATCTGGTGGTTGTCTCAATTTTTGTAGCCCAGACTGATAGCTGTAATCATTGGATTTTGAAAAAACTATTGAGTTTTGGATTAAAATTTGGTTTCGGTGATCCCCAACAGTTATCAATCCAGGTTTGGAGAAGACAGGACACTATAGGTTTATTTTTTGTACAAATGTAGACTCTCTTTGGCTGGCATTGTGCATCATCTTATAACTTGGTTTACGTAATCATGGTTGACTGAGTAACCTTCAATTGGAATGATTTACAGTATGCATTAACCCAAAACCAAACAAATCACATTTGGCTTGGCATGTTTGGTGATCCAAGCCTCCCCCTTCTGTCTCTTTTTCTAGCTCTGCCGAAACCATCCATTGTATGGCACCAAGCTCAAGATGCAATGGGAAAGCACCAGTTTCAGTGCTCTGCCCAAGAGGAATATGCAGGCAGCTGGTTCTCGTTGTACATGGGAGGCAGCCAGAAGCCGGTAGCTCAAAAGAAAGCTTTGCCAACAGAATCTAGTGCCACCTTTGAGGTCCATGAGGTGGGCTCAGATGAGCAATTCCACTGTAGCTATGAAATCTGGGAGGCTGGGAAGGCAATCCGCTCTCCACTTAGCCAGCCTGCAAACTTCACAGAAGGTGAGTATTAAGCTGAATCTATCTTATCTCTCTCCCTTTCTCTCTCTCCATCCATCCATCTTTTCTGTTTGGCTACTTAATGAGAAGAGAGGACTCACTGGAAAAGATCCTGAGGTTGGGAAAGAAGGAAGGCAAAAGGAGAAGGGAATGGTAGAGGATGAGATGGTTGGATAGTGTGATTGATACAATGAACATGAATTTGGGCAAAATCTGGGAGAGAGTGGAGGGGGAGACCCTGTCATGCGGTGGTCCATGGGGTCATGAAGAGTCTGACACGACTTAGTGACTGAACAACAATAACCACCCTCCATCCATCCCTCTGTCCATTCATCCCCTTCTCGCTCCATCCTGTTATCCATCCATCCTTTCAACCCTCCCTCCATCTATCCATTCTATTATCCATCCCTCCTTCTATCCATCCATTCTATTATCCATCCATTTTTCTGTCTGTCCATTCTATCATCCATCCATCCATCCATCCTATTATCCCTCCCTGCCTCCCTCCATCTATCCATGTGACCATGGGGATGCTGCAATGGTCGTAAATGTGAAAAATAGTCATGTCACTTTTTTCAGTGCCATTGAAACTTTGAACTAAACAAATGGCTGTAAGTCAAGAACTACCTGTACCTGTATATCCTATAGTTCTCCAGTGCAGAAGGCTGAAAATTGATTTCTATAATCCTCATTTTATGTGCTATTCTCTTCAATCTAAGGTAATTTAGTTCCAAGCTAAAAAAAAAAGAAGAAAGAAGAATTGCATCCTTTTTTTATTTTGAAAAGCATCACTACATTTCAATCCTAACTAAGCATGGGTTGTTTGAAATACGTACACACCGGATCAAATGTCAACCCTGCTCCAAACTGAGGCAGGATAGAAGAGCATCCAGGAAGAACAGGAAGAATGACATTCACTTTGTAAAAATCCTTCAATTCCCATCATCCTCAGCCAGTCTAGCTAAAAGATAGCTTGGCTAGGAATGCTGACTTCTAACTACAGATATAAAAACTTGGTTTTTATCTACATTTTTTAAAAATGTAGATAAAAACCCACCTTTTATTTAAATTAGAAAAGCTTGCTTCCAAGGAAACAGATCTAGCTGCTGTTCTGAAATGAAATATATTGTTTTTCATTCCTCCCTGCCTGGGGTGCTGGCATATTCCAGGCAGAGATTAATTTTTATTATGTTTTGTTTCCTTTGCTGCTCTGTAACAATGTTTCCCAACCTTAGCAGGTTTAAGGTGTGAATTTCAACTCTTAGGAGTTGAAATCTACAGATCTTAAAATTGCTGTGGTTGAAAAATATTGCTCTAAAGCAGTGGTTCTCAACCTTTTTAATGCCGCGACCCCAACCGGTCGTAAGACGAGAACTAAACCGGTCGTAAGTCGAGGACTAAACCGGTCGTAAGTCGAGGACTACCCAACCGGTCATAAGTCGAGGACTTTCCCTGCCCGGGAGCACTGCGCATGTGTGGTTCCGCCCTCTGCGCCGGCCGAGGCGTAGCTGGCAAGCGGCAGAGACGGAGCAGGCTGACCACCAGCTGGCCCAGCCCAAGGGAGGTAAGGCACCCGCCGGAAAAGGGGGAAAAAATGGCGGACAAAAAAAATGGCGGACAGCCTTGCTTGGCAACCCCCATGAAATGGTCGATCGACCCCAAATGGGGTCCCGACCCACAGGTTGAGAACCACTGCTCTAAAGCATGCCAGCAACCGGTCCACACAAACAAGCAAAGCCTCATCCACGAGATGCAGGCAGCACACAAAACCACACACCCTCCAGTCCACGGAAATACTTCTCTCCATGGAACCAGTCCCTGGTGCCCAAAAGGTTGGAGACCTCTGCTTTAGAGCAGGAGTGTCCAACCTTGGCAATTTTAAGACTTGTAGACTTCAACTCCCAGAATTCCCCAGCCAGCCATGCTGGCTGGGGAATTCTGGAAGTTGAAGTCCACAAGTGTTAAAGTTGCCAAAGTTGGTAAACCCTGCAATAAATAGAGAGGGAAGGGCACATACATTACAATAACCATCACCACTCTAATTACCCTGGTTGGTCCTGAAGCTGAATGTAAAACTTTTGTCTCCTCCAGTGCATTACCCAAAGCCCTCAATTGCTGCGAGTCCCAGCACAGAAATCTCAGTGGGACAGGACTGGACACTCCGTTGTTGGGCTCCCTTTTCAGGTGTCAGCTTCGTCTTCTACCAGGCCAGGGACTTCCGGTATGAGGTCACTCCTCGAGGGGATTCCAACATGGCTGAATTCTCCCTGGAGAATGTCACAGGGGCTGATGAAGGACGGTACACGTGCTACTACCACAGCCTCACCGATCCTGTCATCTGGTCCAATGCCAGCAGCCCAGTGGTGCTGAAAATCCTGGGTGAGGAAAGGCGAGGAGGTGGCATCTTGCCAAAATTAAAGCACATGGATGTTTTCCTGAATTGTACAATGAATGGGGAATGTTGGCTCCATGTTGGGATTGACTGAGACTGAGTTTGGTGTAGTGGTTAAAGGCACCAGGCCAGAAACTAAGAGACTGTGAATTCTAGTTCTGACCTAGGTGTGAAACTTGGCTGGGTGGCTTTGGGCAAGTTACCAGGAGACTGTGAGTTCTAGTCTCACCTTAGGCATGAAATCTAAAGGCGACTTTGGACCAGTCACCAGGAGCTTGTGAGTTCTAGTCCTGTCATAGTGCTGAAAGCCGATTGAATAACTCTAAACCGGTTGCCAGGAACTGAATTCTAAACCAGCCTTAAGCACGAAAGCCAGTTGTGTTACTTTAGGCCAATCACCAGGAGATTGTGAGTTCTAGTCCTGCCTTAGAAACAAATCCAACTGAGTATTTTGGGATCAGTTCTTCTCTTTCAGCTCCAGAAAGAAGAAGGCAAGGGGGGGGGGGGGAGAAACATCACTTCTGAATATCTTGTGTCAAAACTGAATTTAAAGGCATATTCGGATATGATTAAAATGGCTGATTTTATCCTGATCTCCCATCTGGAATTTGTGGGTTTACTCTTTTTAGTTATTTAATACTGTATACGATTGCCATTTCCTGTTAGATCTTTTGTTTGAAGTAAGGAAAGGTGGCACAAGAAGGGAAAATACTAGATTAGTCATCATTTAATTCCTGTACTATTATCTCTCTTATACATACACACACAACACACGAACATACTACACAAAATTTATTTCAGACAGCTGTTTGTTTTCTTTCTTTCTTGGTCCTTTCATTTGTCCCTTTGTGTGAAAAAAATACATGGAACAGTTCCTGTCTGGACACCCTGCATTATCAGAAATTCCAGTAATCTTTGCAGGAATGACTATAAATTAATAAAAATGTCTAGCTTTTGTTTCTGAAATATGGTCTGGAGACTAGAAAAGGGTAATGAAAAGAAAGCTGAGACACCCCCTGAGTTCTTCCTTACCAGCTAAGGGGGACAAAATAATAATAATAGTAACAACAGCAACAGCAACAACAATAATAATAATGTTGGAAGGGATCTTGGAGGTCATCTAGTCCAACCCCCTGCTCAGGCAGGAAACCCTATACTATTTCAGATGGCAGCCACAACTTTGCAATCGAAACCCCGTCATTATGTTGACTTTTTTGACCTCTTCCCTGCAGACTCCCTTGCTTACTAGTTTTATTGCCTAGTTTTATTACAAAATTATTGATTTTTTTTTTCCAGGTGTGTCTGATGTTAGCAGATATCAAGAGGTGTTGGTTGACTCTGCAGGGAGGTATCGAGTGAATTGTTCCATGCCCTCCATAACTGGGGGCTGGTTCTATCTGTATATTGATGGGGAGTTCTTTGCTGAAACCAGAGCATGGCAAAATGGGACAAGCGCCAGCTTCGGCCTCACAGAAGATGCCCTCAGCAGCCTCAAGGGCAAGCTGAGCTGCCAGTTTGGGGAAAACCAACTCAACGATACCATAAGGCAGACACAAGGTGAGCCATGAGGGAATGAGGGCAGGAGAGACTGAGAGGGTGGTGGTGGTGGTGATGTACCATCCAGGTAAATGACGGTTTGCAAAGTCTTCATCTTGAGAAGCTCACAGTCTAACCCAGGCGTAGGCAACCTTAGCTGTTTTATGACTCGTGGACTTCAACTCCCAGAATTCCTGAGCCAGCATGGCTGGCTCAAGAATTCTGGGAGTTGAAGTCCACAAGTCATAAAAGAACCAAGGTTGCCTACCCCTGGTCTAATCTTTGAAGAAAGTTCCATGGTTATGCAGGAAGTGTGGGGTGCTTGGTGTTCTCTGCGCTTGGTTGTTTTCTTGCAGATGTTTCATTACCCAACTAGGTAACATCATCCCTGCAAGTCCCACTCCCTTCTGGCGCTGGTGATGTTATCTAGTTGGGTAATGAAACGTCTGCAAGAAAACAACCAAGCTCAGCGTACATCAAGGAATCCATAGCTACAGATATTCTCTTCTCTTGATTACATAGGAAAGTATAGCAGTGCCTGTTGGAGGGAAACAGCCGTGGAGTCTTTCCCCATTCCTGAGTTGAGGTAGTACCCAACCATCCTTGAATCAGCAGGAAACTCTTATCATCATGGCCTTGCTTCCCACCTTGCTGGGGTCTATTCTGCAACTCTTTCCAGTGTCCATGAGTGACGCTTTCCTGAATTTGCATATGTAAGGAGAGTTAAGCAAATGGATAGGTTGTTGCCTCCAGCTTTACATCCCAGCCCCTCTCTGGATGTTGTGAGCTGGCAGGGTCTAGATTACAAAAAGGAAGACTTTGAAAGAAAGGGGGAAGATCTGTTACCAAAACAACGAATAAGGAAAATCCAAATGGTGGGGGAGGATTATAAAAATGTTTTAGACACCATCCCCCTAATTCACATGAGTATAAAAGTTAGGAGGGGAAGCATACCAGACTTACAAGATTATGTTGTTATAATCAATCTAAATAAAAGTAGTTTTTAAACTTTCTATAGATAGTCCTTGACTTATGACTAGTCTCTTAGCAACCATGCAACATGATAATGGAGTCCCCAAAAGCTACTTACAACCTGGATTCAAAGTTCCGATATTTGGGTCCCCACTGCTGTTATATGCCTGCATTTTGGGTGCTTGGCAGGTGACCCACATTTATGGCTGTTTGCAGCATCCTTTAGTCACATGATCATGATTTATATTTTTTGCTGAAACTAGCATTTTTCCCCGATTTCTGACAAAAGAATGTCCCCCATTGAGCCGTGGGTTTGCTTAACAACCTCAGCATTCACTTAACAACTGCCACATTCCATTTACAACTGCCACGATCTCCTAACATCTGTCACAAAAAAGGTTGTAAAATTGGCCAGGGTTACCTGCTTTGGTGACCCACTTTAGAATAATCACGAATTAGGAATGAAATTGTGAACTGTTTGTATTTCTTGATCTAGTCTGTTCACACAGAAAGACATTTGAGATCCTGTAGGGATCTCACTGGGTGGCAGTGGAGAAAATGGGAAATGGGGGGGCAGGGTGGAGGCTGTAGGACAGCCAAGGGCCCACTTATATTAAATATAACTATGGTACAATTTCAGCTTTGAACAAAGTTTATATTCTCCGCTCCTGACCACCTACAGGTAGTCCTCGAGTTACAACCATTATTGAGCCCAAAATTCCCTTTGCTAAGGAAGACCGTTGTTAAGTGAATTTTGCCCCGTTTTATGAACTTGCTTGCCACGTTTGTTAAATGAATCATTGCAGTTGTTAAGTTAGTGACATGGTTGTTAAGTGAATCTGGCTTCTCCTCTGACTTTGCTTATCAGAAAGTCACAAAGGGTGATCATATGAGCCTGGGACATTGCAATCGTCATAAATACATGTCAGTTGCCAAGTGTCTAAATTTTGATCATGTGACCATGAGGATGCTGCAACAGGCATACATGTGAAAACTGGTCATTTTTTTCAGTCCTTTTGTAACTTTAAATGGGCTGGGGGTTGAAGTCTACTACCTTAAAATTGCCATGGTTGAGAAACGCTGGATTAGACACTGTGATAGGATATCCCTCAAGAGATTTATATGACCCCCATCTTGCCTCTGTTTAAATGAAACCAAACAATTTTCCCCAGATCTTGGCCTAGAGTAGACAGTGAGATGTACATTTTAGTGGCCTCTGTGTCTGTGTTCTTTTTCCAGACATTTATTTTGTAGGATCTCTGTAGTCTTCTATTTTTAATTGTCTTGAGTTGTATGCTGTCCAGTGTCAGGATGGAATCAGGCAGCCTATAAATTAAAGAAACAAACTGACGTAGAAAGCGTCCTCTGGATTTACACATCATACTAAATCGTAATGTAGGTTGTTTGGTTTTATCTTAGTAAGTTCTATGAATCAAACCAATGTGGTTTTGTGCAATGAGTATGTCATCAACAGACACAAACATAAACGATATCTACATACTGTAGAAAAGCTAACAGGACACGGATATGTATACCGGTAAGTTAAAATATATTGATAAATGTCTTAATTGATCGAGTTATAATTAGAAATGTATTAATTTGAATGTGATATAATAATCAAGGGAAATAGAGAGGACATTTTTGATGATGTAACCTGAGATATCCACGAAAGAGCTTGTTATTGGATTATTGATTGCCCAATCACCACACTGCTTCCTAAACATTTGGATGTAAAACTGGAAAATTAATAAAACTTGTTTAAAAAAAAAAGAAAAGCTAACAAGGGAACAAAAATGCTAAAACATTTCCCCACCAACAGTCAACACTCAGATGAGCATAGATTTACATCCAGATTAACATCAGATCAACAATCAAGAAGTAAATAATATCCCTTTCAAGGAATTGCCAAACAAGCTAACAATAAGCAGCACAACCAAGGCCACTCTCACCAGTACTGACAGGGCAAGCCACTCAAATATAAATTGAGAACAAACCCATTCCTTAACCAGCACTGATGATGCTACCTAGCTTGGGGTAATGAAATGTCTGCAAGAAAACAGCCAAGCTCAGAGACCGTCAAGGATCCCTCATGAGTATGTCAACTCAGCCAGCTGTTTGTTCAACAGTTATGGTTAAGCACATCATGGCAGTGATTTAATTCCAGTTATGACTAGACTGCAAAAGTTTGAAGGATCAATTACAATTCCACTGTTCCTTCTAGGGAAGATTTAATCAGTTGTGCTCAAGCCAGCCAGAACAAAATTTAAATAACAGTCTTATAATTAAACCATTAAAGCTCAGCCATTAAAAACTCATCAAATGCAAACATGTTGTTAAGAAAGTCAGAATGCATAATGAAGATTTATTGTGGAAGTGCTTTCCTTTTTTACAGTATATATATATATATATATTTTTCCTTTAAAGAGTCACTTCTGCCGAGCCCTGATTTCACTGCAGCCAATTCTGTACGTCTCGGCCTCGGGTTCACTATCCTTGTGGCAGCCGTGGCTTTTGTGGCTGATGCGCTTTGGACTGAGAGGTCTCGGGAGAACTGAGCCAGGCAAAAGCTTCTGAATCTGCGAGATATGTGGGGTCACGCAAAAGCATGGCTTGAGACGGTCTTTTCTGGTGGCTGCATCCAACGAGAAGAGGGGTAACGGTCAAGACAACTGAACGCTTCCTGTGCAAATTGAAGCTTTCATTACTCAAAACCATTGATCAGAATGTCTTATCGAACTTTGAGAAGTGGTTGCAAGTCCCTCCCTTTAGCACCGTCGAAACTTGGAACAGCCCCTAAATGAATGGTCTTGAGGAGTCTATCTGTGTCATAAAAACGATATCACTGAATGACCTTTATGTCATTTCAACAAATTACCTTTAGTAATTTCCATCCATTTTTCATCTTAAAAGGAATACTTTGGGAGATTTTCTAATGTATTTTAGCACATGTGGCAATCTTTAAGTCAATTTAAATTGAACTGTCCTGTGGTGATGGGTAATGGATTCGTGTGTCATTACCCAAAGAAAAAACTGCTTTTACGCAATTTGGGATAATTTACCCAGATTTAGAAGTGCTGCTCTAGAAGCTGGTCTTCATATCTGCAATAAAAGCTGCTTTTATTTTACTTATGTGTTTGTCTTGTCTGTCTTATGAAAGGTTGGAGGTAGATTGGACATTTACAGAGAGAATTATTGCAGTGACCAGAATATTGTTAGAGCAGTCCTTAATTTACTCACTTACTTTTCAGTAGCTGAAGTTGAAACAGGAATTTTGTTCAACTTTCTGTTGTGGACTCTTGTTAAAAAACATGGAAGCTAGACTCATAAAACAAGTAAGTTGTGTTATCTGTGGAAGAAAATTAAAGTACCACTAATATTTCTCCCAGTGTAATCATTTCAGCAAATCAGTACATAGAATCTCACCAAGGGGCTGGGAGTAGAAACAAGTAGCATCCCCACTGGCCATCACAGCTTGGAATTCTGGGATTTGCAGTCCAACCCTCCGATCCTCTGGGCTCTACTCGGCCTCCAGGGAACTTAGATCCTTGGGCCCGGGATCACTGGCTGATGTTATGCAACGCCAGGTCCGTGGTAAACAAGGCCCCCCTCATCCAAGATCTTATCCAAGAGGGGGGTGCAGACCTGGCAGGTATCACCGAGACCTGGTTGGGCACGGAAGGGGGAGTGCCCCTCGTTGACATCTGCCCGCCAGGTTTCCAGGTATTCCATCAGCCAAGGACCCGGGGTAGGGGCGGTGGGGTAGCGGTCATTATAAGGGAGAATCTATGTCCGAGGGAGACCACTGTGCCTCAGATAGACGGTGGAGAGTCCCTCCTTG